CAGAGGACGGATCATCAGAAGGATTAGCAGCCATATGATCGATAGATCTAGGGTTTCAGGTATTGAATTGATCGATAGATCTAGGGTAAAAAAAAACGAAGGATCAGAGTATAGATATGTGCGGAAAATCAGATCGTCTGGCGAATGATACCATATCAGGATTCCATATCAACAAGATTAGAGAGTAGAAGAACAAGATGAAGAAGAAGAAGATGAACAAAAGAAAATACTGCGGCTCTTAGATTGAATGAAAATAATGAATAGTGTTAGGGTTACAATATGGAGTAGGCTATTTATACTCCCACTTTACAAGACTGAAGTTGCTAAAGTACAATGACAACTTATGTTGAAGTAAAACACAACTTAAATACAAAAAGGGTAAAATAGGGAAAACTATATATATTGTCACCTTCAAACCCTGTATCTTCTGCGCGTAATTAGCCGGTGAGGATGCATAGTCTCCGGGTTCCTCGATTGTGTTGAAGTCGTTCATGAAAAGGGTCACCTTCCCGTCTAACTGGCGCGCCCTCTGGTAGAAATTAGTCGAAGCAGAGGGTCCCAACTTGTCTTCGTAGAAGTGGAAGTGTAGATTCTCGTTCATCACGTCCCAATGGATCAACTTCCCCTGGTATCGACTCATCACCGATTCAACCCTCCGGTTAGCCGCCTCCTGAAGGGCCTCTCCATAGAGCCCAGAGACCCAACTGGGCTGATACTTGGGGTCGTCCCACAAAATGTTGTGGCCTCGTACAGAAATGCCGTGGTTTTGCGCAAACTGGAGCAAGGAGTCCGCCGTCGCGTAGTTCTCCGCGCCCTGGGATTGCTCGATGGAGTACCATTTCAACTCATTTTCAAAAACCGTGTACGAGAATCTTGATGTGAACCAGTCTTGGTAGGCCTGGTTTCCAAGGATGTTTTGGTTGATGGCGCAGCCCACAGGGATGTTATTGTAGAGCTGGCTTATGCTCACTGTGGCGTTCTCCACCGGAAATCCCTCATTGTCCAATACCTCGAATTTCACAATCTTTTTCCGGCTTCTTTCCACGTTTTGTTGTTGGTGAGACTTCCACTCTTCACGGGTGAACGATTGCAACGAAATGCTATCCGCCCAAATCTCAACGTCTGTATTTTCGGACTCGAAATAGAGATGGGCCGAGCCAGAGGCATTCACGTGTAACCCGCCTTTCATCATGCTCCAGCACCCGCTTACAGCCAGGCCCCAACCCGCTTTTATGTAGCCCGCCCTTTTTGTTTTGAAAACGGCCGCCACGGGAGCCTTTTCATGGCTCGTTCGTACCCAAGCTACGTACGTACATTAATAAATACATGACTTAGAGAGTACTAATATTGTAATTACTATTACATTCTTGATATATCAATTAACAATGCAACTATTATTATTATTATTATTATTATTATTATTATTATTATTATTATTATTATTATTATTATTATTATTATTATTATTATTATTATTATTATTATTATTGATCAATTAATTAATTACCTGAGAAAGTGTAGATCTTCCCTTTCTGAAGATGGAACTTCTGCGAGAAACTATGATATGGTAGTTTCCTCTCGGAGGCTATAATGTAACTGTTTAATCCATCCTCCTCAGAATAAGATATTCTGTGCTCCACTTTGGCTTCTCCGAATTGTCTCCACCCCTTTAGTCCTTGGTTGAATTCCGGGTTTACCACCATCCCTCCATTGTATAGAGGCTTCGGAGGCGTTGCCAAACACACGGGATTAAACGACGAGTCATAAGGAACCGAGCGTGCGAGGAGGAGGCATTCAAGGATATTAATGAGGAGGAGGAGGAGGAGGAGCAAATAGGATGATGATGATGATGCCATGTTTAGTTGATTTTGTGTTTTTTAGCTAGCTAACTATAAACTTTCTTTGTTAGGAAAATATGATAATGGTTGGGAGTTTTTATACGTGACAAAAACCACATTTTCTCTAGGCATGAAACAGAAAAGTGACAATTTTGTATCATTTGTCAACAGTCAAGGGACGTGGCCGATGTAATTCATGCCTCGATTATTTATCTCACCGGCTTTGAATGCTGATTGACGGCGGGAAATGATAAATATAATATAAATTAACAAAAACGTGACAGAGTTTGTACAAACTAACCAAGGTGAATTAATTCATCATATTTGTACAAAAGGTGGTGAATTCAAATGAAAAAAATGAATTTAATATAGTTTTTTTTTTTTTTTTTTTGCCAAGAAACATCAAATATAATATATAAACTCAAAAATGTACAACCGCGTAACCAACGGGTTACAATTAAATCTCGAGAGCATCAACAGTCTTGCTCAAGAGATCATAGAGGACACCACACCAAGCACCCCTAAAAGACCAACAAGGTCATCTAAACAGTCTAACATAAGAAAATAAACAACAACAAATACAAGCCACAAGAGATACCAAAACAGGAAAAAAGAAAACTGCTAAGACTCAATAGACCATGAAGCAAAAGTGTCCAACAGCAAGAAGATGTCATCAGCAATCACTGCCACCTTTGTATCAAATGGAGTCCTGTTAGCTATCTGCCTTCTCAGCTTCTTATTTGTCACTTTGAGATGAACTTCATGCCATCCTGCCCTGTTTCCTGAGATTAGCCAGTCCCTAAGCTGAACAAGACCCCACTCTTCTGTTCCTGTCTTCTTCTTCACTGTTATGGACCACTCTTGCACCATCATGTTATTCTGAACAGCCCTGCCTGAGATCTTGTAACCATCATCTGTTGATCCATTAGCACTGAAACAGAGTCCTGCCCCCCTACTCCTTGCAAATCAGCAGATGCTTGGATTACTTCTGTACCAGCAGAGATAGAGGCAAATTCACTCCATTCTTGATATGCCATCATAACTAGTTGTCTCTCAGAGCATTGTTCTTTTCGAAATACCCATCCATTTCGAGTCTTCCACAGCCACCATAACAAATATGTTGACAGTGAGACTCTCTCCTTTTCCTTCCCATCAACCATTAATTTGCACATTTCCTCCCACCAATCATTGAACCCAGCACTCTCCTGTTGAAGGCAATCCCATTCCAATCCTGCAAGTTTCCACACAAGTTTAGCTCTCTTACAATAGAACATCAAATGCTCCAAAGTCTCATTCTCCTCTCCACATCCACTGCACCTCTGATCTATCTCCATACCCCTCTGCCTCAGATTGACATTTGTACCCAAACAGTTATGTATGCATCTCCACAGAAAATTTTTCAGCTTGTTTTTAATGGGCAGTTTCCATGTAGCCTTCCACATAGCCTTGATCCTGTCACCCCCTGAACTGCTTTCCTCATGTCCTCCCTCTATCCTCTTTTGTTGCTGAATGAGGTAATAAGCTGATTTCACAGTAAATAGTCCCTTCTTGTGAGGATTCCACACCAGCTTGTCTTTTGAACCCACCTGACTTATGTGAATCTTCAGAATAGCCTCAGCTATTAATGAATTCATTGAAATACGACATAATTTTGAAATATAGTATAAACAAAATTATGACATTTAATAATACTAGTAAAGTGCACGTGCCATGCACGTGGTGTCGAATGATTTTCGCTGAATAAGTTTGTAAAATAAATTAATTTATTTATAAACATATCATTGCAGAAATGAAGTAAAATATAGAACAAGTGAACTCATGTGTGATTTTTTTTATTTAGAATTATGTCCTAATATAAAAAGAGTGAAATAAAGTTTTACAACCCCCAACAAAAATATATAAAAAAAATCCCTAATTAAAAAAAAAAAACAAAGATTTTATTTCATTTTGGTTTGACGTTCTCATAAGAAACATTCATAAACCATTGGAGTCCAATACACTTGTTGATACACAATTTTGCCTCGATTAATAGAAATACGACACGTGGATATGTATTAGATAAAGGTAAATATAATAGGTTTTCCGAGCTGATTGTTTAATATCAACCGAGTTCCGAAGTGTCCAGATCGCTCACGTTCGAGTCTAGCAGAATTGAATATCGCCAGCCCGACTCGGGTATCGAGAAGA